AACTCCAGTCCATCTTCCATGGGCGTCAACAGAGCCAGTCTGGTTCCTTCGACGCGTCTGTTCGCTATCTCTGGAGTCTTCTCATTTATTTGAACCTTCTTAGGCAAGAAAGATTCGAAGGTGGCATTGAGCCACAGTTGGAGCAGCCAAAAAGGCCCAGCAAGTAGCAAACTGGCCCTGTTCTCGATAATTTTTAGAAGAGTTGCCCCATTACTAATCGAATCATAGAGGCTAGCCAAAATCAATTCTGCCAAACAGATATTTTGGCCATGATGGAGTTGAGTGGCGAGAGTGACCATCTTCTTGGTCACCTGTAAGGACTTCGAGCAAAATACAAAACGAGTCAGCCATAAGGCTAGAAACGCTATGTGTTCGACATCCGACACAGCATCTGTCGACCTGTCGTGGTAGTGATTGATGAAGGTGGTATAGGTTGGTTTGGTGGCAGAAAATCCAATTTGATCCTCCGACATCTCCTCCGGATCGAAGTAGTCCCCAGTGGGTCGAAGGCCAGTGATAGCGGCCACATCGAAGAGTGTAGGAGTCAGCATCCCACAGGGAAGATGGAAAGTAAAGTGGGAGTAGTCCCAGAAAAGTAGAGAAGCTATCAACATCTCCGGAGAATAGTTCAAACCTGTCTTCGACAGCATCACCAGGTCGAAAATCCCCATATCTTTCCAGATCGAAGCTTGGCGTTTCTCCATCTTTTCCAGCCAAGCAACGTAATCAGGAGTAAGGCTAGGGCCAGACCTGAAAGCCCTAACACCTTTGTTGAAGAAACGAAGGTCGATTTTCTCTTTAGCAGGCTCTTCATTATCCTCTGCATCTTTCTTGGCGCATGCAACCGGTTTGAGTTTCTCAACTACCGGAAAATAACTCTTGATCTTCATGGCCTCAGCAATACTTGGATACAAGGGGCCAGACATAGCAAAGATCTGGTTGGAATATCCAACCGGGATCATAAGGTGGTGTGAGTAAGCATCACGTACGACGATGTCGAAGGGTTCAGGGACCCTTCGTTGGCCCGTAGAAGTTACTACTGGAGCGGTGACGAAAACCTTAGGTTTGACATTTCCAGATGGTACGGTAGCGCTAGGAGCATTGGAACCAGATGCCATTGTTAATGGTGAGGTTGAAGACGAAGTGAAGAAAGAAAGGGTTTTGCAAAGATGACAAGTTTGTATGAAAATAGAGAAGTCTGAAGGCTAGATGGCGTAAAAAGTCCCACAATGGGGTACTTACTGCTATTTATAGTAGTGGGGAAAATCCCAAAAACCGAGGACATTAAATGCCATTTAATGTTGCAGGAGATAGTGGGACACGTGGCATCCCCCTGTTGTTTTAGCCGTTCTGCAGAAATAGAGGGACGCAGCGTGCGTCCTCGTTTTTGGGAATTGTCATATAGATAAATTCTGAAATGACGTTTGGCACTGCACGCCGTACTGAAGTGACGTCTTAGGTACGGATAAATGATGGTTTTCTTGGGATTGCCAGTGGTTGGTAGAAGACAACAAAAAGTGCACAATTTAATTTGTGACTAAGCGTGAAAAGACAGGTGTCGAATGGCGTTTCAAAGAATGCCTTTTTCTTTCAGAGTCGAAATAAGGCATTCTCGGGGGGCAATTTGTTGGCTCCTAAATTCGACACCCTTGTTTTATTAATGTCAGCCATTAAAGCTGGAGGATGTTTTCGACTAGCTAGGTCTGTCGAAATGCCCATCGAAAGATGGTAAGGTACTTAAAAGATTTCTTCCAAGGGAGAAGTTGGTTGCCTTTGACGTCGAAGGAGTCTCTCGTCGAAGATGCTTCTCGGCGAAGGTGTTCGATGGTTCAGAGTGGAGCAGTTTGAAATTCAAGCGTTTGGAGGGAAAACGGTTTCCAGCGGTTACCAAGTGCAACGTGTGAAGATCTGGAGCGTCAAACGTTGAGAACGTGCCAAGTGGAGTCATCTCGAAGCAGTGTAACTGCCCGACGGTTACTTGGGATGTTTTAGTATAAATAGTAGTAGTCATGTAGTTTCTCGCGTGTGTTCACAATTCTATACAAAGTCACTCATATAGATTCGAGTACCCAGCGTGTGACAAAGAATTGTTGAGAAATGTATGTGTGAAACACCAACTTTATTAATCAAAGTCATTTACTTTCCCAAAAATTTATTTTCTTTCTTCTTTACTTTCCTGTCGAACCCTTTCATTTAAAGCCTTATTTATTTTACCAAGTCCTTTCTTCATGCAATTTACTTAAAGCCTCTTTATTTTATTGTCATTTAACCAATATCCAATTTAATCAAACTTCAAAATCAACCTATATCCTAGGATCAATCTGATCGATCCTGCGAGTAACCAAATAAGTAACCATTTGGAGGATCAGCGGTTGTTTACCAAATACCAAGGTAAACACTTGTACGTTATTATTCTTCGGAAAACGGCAAGTGGCAGTCTCTTCATGGGCAGCTTGTACGTTATTCTTCTTCGAAGATAGCAAGTGGCAGTTTCTTTATGAGCAGCTTGTGAGTTATTGGCAACAAGTGGCGGAGTCTTCATGAGTAGCTTGGTGCTTTGATATTCTTTGAAGACAGCAAGCGACAGTCTCTTCACGAGGCAACTTGTGTGTTATGGATACTCTTGACAAACAGCAAGCAGCAGTCTCTTCATGAGGCAACTTGTATGTTATTGACACCTTTGAAAGGAAGCAAGTGGTGGCCTCTTTATTTGAGCAGCTTGTGTATCCCCAACAATAATGTCTACTCAGCAAATGGCATCCCTTTCGGAAAAGTCCCGTGGGGAAGTTTGTTATTTTATCCTTTTCAAGCGATATCTTGGTTAAAGAAGAAATGTGTTACCGTTCTTGGTAAAATTCAGAAATCAGAGATGTTTATCTCCAGCCACAGTGCTAATGTCAATCATTTTCCAGTCTCAGTACTGATGTCCATCATTTCCTTTTCCAGTCACAGTGCTGATGTCAATCATTTTCCAGTCTCGGTACTGATGTCAATCATATGCTTTTCCAGTCACAGTACTGATGTAAATCATTACCTTTTCCAGTCACAGTACTGATGTAAATCATTACCTTTTCCAGTCTCAATACTGATGTAAATCATTCAAGAGTCTCTCATTTGAAGTCTATGACTTTGTTTCCCCAGTGGTGTTATAATCTGTTCCCCTGTAGGATTACTATAATATGTTTGGTTTCTCCAGCATAGTTTGTCTCATATGGCGTCATTCCCCATAAAATTCAAAACATCACATTCATATCATATCATAAACATAATTGCGGTATCTTAAGGCCAAAAATTGTGTATTCTATATTTAAGTCCCTTCAATCTCGTCAGATAGAAGAAACTTAAATAGGGGCAGCTGTCATACCCCAATTTTTGACCTAAGATCCCACTTGCATTTTTGCATTTTTTTATATACAAAAGTCAAGGTCACTAAATACGGTCGGTTTTAACCTCTCACCTTCGAGCATTGACTATGCGAATTTTGTCAAGTGTTTTGAACATTTTTAACCTATGTATCACTAATTTCTAATCCATACAAAGGTGTATGTTCATGTTTTCTTTTGCTTCATGTGCAGAGACAGGTCTGAATCAAGAGCATCAGGTGTCGTGCCTCAATTAAAATTTTGAGTCTCCCAAGCCAGAAGTACGGTTGATTGTGGATTCTCGAAGACTGATTCATCAAGGCACAACTGTTGCACCCTAAATGTCGCCCCTAATTTTTTCAGTCGCACATTCATACCATATTTTGTCATTTGGTCACAATCATTAGTAAATACCTTCATTCATCACATTTTGCATCATTAGTCGTATTTAAGTTGATCAGAAAAGTCAGTTTAAATCAAAGTTTGCATCGTCTTTCAGTTGTAAAATACCCGGCGTTTCACATCATTCATTTTTACCTGTTTACTATTTTCTTGCATTGCTCCAAGTTGTTTATACGTCGATAATAAAAATATTTCGGTTTTATAGACAAACTGTTAAAAGCAATTCGACACTATGCGGGAAACTAGCGAGAAAGTATTTCAAGTTTTCACCTTTTACCGATCATTTTATGAATCTGCGCTTCGCGTAGATTATGACGGTATGCTCGCTTTATTTTTTTCGGTACAGTTCGAAGTCTCGTTTTTAACCTTAAACGTCTGTTTAGTCTGATATTTTTATTATTATTTTATTTTTGATTTTTGACTTCTTGAACATTTTTTTCCTTTAATCTTTGTGACATGTAGATTATTTTAATGTGTTCATTTTATTTTTTCGGATAATTTTTCGTCCGTTTTTTATCATTTTTCGGTCATTTTGGGTCTTTATTTTTTATTCATAAAATATTCAAAAAAATCATTTTAAATTGAGTTATTTTTTATAATTTCAGGTTTTTATTTTATTTTAGGCATTTAAGGACTATTTGATCACAAAATATATTATTTATGCTACACTCTATTCCTATTGGTTGTTGGATGAAATTGAGGATTGATACAAAATTGCGAAAAACAATATCACTTTTTACCCTTTCCCCCTCTATCCACTTCCCTCTATTCCCCTTTTCTACTTACAGTAACCAAAAGTCCCTATATTCTCAATATCACACACAACTAACATCTCTCATAAAAACACAAAAATAAACTCACTTCCCCTCTCTCCAAAAAACAAAACAAAAAGCATAGCAGTAAAAACCTTTCGCCTCACTCAACCTTCCTCCCAAACTCCCTTTCATCTCTTCAAAAACAGCAACATTAAACACTGTCTCTCTCAAACTCATAGCTGTTCTTTATACACATTTTTAATAATATCTACTTTTCATTTATTTATCATTCTGCAAAAAGAAAAAGTGAACTCACAGACAAAAACAACGACAGTGTGAAGAAGAGAAAAAGTAGAATCAAAGCTATTTCTTTGTTAGTTCCTTCTTCTTCATCTCACTTCTTTCACTTTACCATCTTTAAAGATTAAGGTTTATTATCCATATCCATATCCATAAGCCATTGTTCAACTTCAAGCTCATAATGTGGAACATCTCAACACTGATTCTTCTGCTACTTCTTCAGTTCTCGTGTTCTCTTATTGGTTCTGCTACAGCTTTTGTGTCTTATGACTCTAAAGCTATCACCATTAATGGTCTAAGAAGGGTTCTCATTTCTGGATCCATTCATTATCCTAGAAGCACCCCTGAGATGTGGCCAGATCTTATTCAGAAGGCTAAAGAAGGAGGTTTAGATGTTATTCAGACTTATGTTTTCTGGAATGGACATGAACCTTCACCTGGCAAATATTATTTTGAGGGGAACTATGATTTGGTGAAGTTCATAAAGTTGGTGCAGCAAGGTGGTCTCTATGTTCATCTAAGGATTGGACCATATGTTTGTGCTGAGTGGAACTTTGGGGGTTTTCCTGTTTGGTTGAAGTACATTCCTGGAATCAGTTTCAGAATAGACAATGAACCATTTAAGTTTCAAATGCAAAAGTTTACTGAGAAAATTGTTGATATGATGAAAGAAGAAAAGTTATATGAGTCTCAAGGTGGTCCAATAATTCTATCACAGATTGAAAATGAATATGGGCCTATGGAGTATGAAATTGGTGCTCCTGGTAAATCGTACACAAAATGGGCAGCAGATATGGCTATAGGACTCAGTACCGGAGTTCCGTGGATAATGTGCAAGCAAGATGATGCTCCTGATCCTGTTATTAACACCTGCAATGGCTTTTATTGCGATTATTTCTCCCCGAATAAGGCTTATAAACCAAAGATGTGGACAGAAGCTTGGACGGGCTGGTTTACCGAGTTTGGAGGTTCGGTACCTCACCGACCTGCTGAAGACTTGGCATTTTCAGTTGCAAGATTTATACAAAAAGGGGGGTCGTTTGTCAATTGTTACATGTATCATGGAGGAACAAATTTTGGTAGAACTTCTAGTGGTCCTTTCATTGCTACAAGCTATGACTATGATGCACCTCTCGATGAATACGGATTGCTGAGGCAACCGAAATGGGGTCATCTGAAGGATTTACACAGAGCGATAACACTCTGTGAACCTGCTTTAGTTTCTGGAGATCCTACCCTTACACAAAGCGGAACCTAACAAACCTGGATCCGAAGGTGCCATTGCCACTTCACCATTGGTGCCAAGCAGTGAAACCCCAACCCCAACAACAACAGTTTCATCTTCACCAACGCACCCGAGCACCCGCAGCCGGCCGCTTCTGCGAGCTCCATACTACTACCCACAAACCGCACACTCTCTCTATTCCGCCAATTTCCCCCATCTGTTCAACTTGTTAACCTCTCTTCATCAACCTTTCTCCATCTGTTCAAAAACCGTGCAACATCATTACCATCAACAACTTCTGCAACACAAACAATCTTCATCTGATTCACCTCACAACAACAAACCAGTTGCTATCGTTCCGTTCTGTCTTCCGGCTTCCGCTTGCCAACCTCCTCACCATCAGCAACGCACAATTTCAAACCTACCTCTGTTCAAAACCCTTAGCCACATCCTTTAACTCACTCACCTCACTTAATCACCATCTTCATCAACTATCTGCGCCAGCAATCCATCAATATTTGGGTAACGGTGCATTTCCTCAACAGCCTCAGGCCAGCATCGTGTATCCACCTCCTTCCGCTGTGGCCGCAAACGGGATGAAATATCCCCTTCCACAGTACAAACCTGGAACTCGGTGCTTGAGGCGGTGGTTGCTGGAGTACCAATGATTGCATGGCCATTGTATGCAGAGCAACATGTTAATAGGAATCTGATGGTGGCGGACATGAAGGTGGCTGTCGCGGTGGAGCAAAGGGAAGGAGATATGTTTGTCAGTGGAGAGGAAGTGGAGAAGAGGGTGAGAGAGTTGATGGAGTCAGAGAGAGGGAGAGACATAAGGAAGACAAGTTTGAAGTTCAAAGACATGGCTAAGGATGCACTTGGAGAATTTGGGTCATCCACGAAAGCACTTTCCAACTTGGTTCAAACATGGTATGATAACTAGTTTCATTGTGCCAACGTGGAAGGTAAGATTTTCATTTTTAATTGTTGTTGCTTCTAAGTTTTATCTTCCAATAGAAGTCTAGACTTCAAATCCAAACTTATGTTAACCGTTTATAGTTTATATGTAAGTAGTTTGATTATAAAAAAAATATTAAAAAAAAAATTATTTAGATTTAGTTTAGCATTAATTTAGAATTTTTAATTAGTTTAGATGTATTTTATAACTTTAAAATATTTAGAATCATAATTAATAACTTTAGAATTTTAATTTAATTAGATATAAATTAGTAATGTTAGAACCTTTAATTAGTTTAGGTGTATTTTGATAACTTAAAAATTTTAATTTGTTTAGATCTATTTTATAACTTTATAACTTCCAATTAGTTTAGATACATTTTGATAACTTTAGAATTTTAATCTAATTTTAGAATTTTAATCTTTAATTTAGAATTAATTTAGTTTTGATTTAAGTTAGTAATTTTATTATTAATATAGTTTAGATTAAATTAGTAATTTTATAATGAATTTAGTTTATACTTAAACAAGTTTAGATGTAATTTAGCAACTTTAGAATTAATTTAGTTTAGACCTAGTTCAGTCATATTAGAGTGTTAATTTATTTTAGATTTAATTTAATAACTTTCGAATTTTTGTTAGTAACTTTAGAGTTTTAATTTAGTTTTAGTTAATAACTTCAAAATTTTATTTAATTTAGTTAGACACCTTAGAATTTAAGTTTAGTTTACTTAGTAACCTTAGAATTTCAAATTAGTTTAGATAATTTTTTTAATTACACTTTTCTTCTATTCATGATTCTTCTTTGTCCATTCATTTAGTTTCTTACAATTTATCTTGTTATCTACCTTGTTCGTTTCTCGTGGATTTTAATTATTTATGATTTCTCACTCGAACATTAGATCTACCCACTTATGATTAATTCCAAGGGAAATGTTTCAACTCAGTTGACTTCATGTCATCAAATACGTCTTCTACAATCGTGCGAATAGCCTCATTCATTTTTTGCTCGTTTACTATTTTTCCAAACTTAAGATAATTTTTCCAAAAGACTCCATTTTCAAACTCATACCTTTTAAGTCAAAACTTCGACATTAGGTTATCACATTTTCAAAATCTCTCCAACACCGATTTTTAGCCAAATGAACCATTTTAATCAAAAAAACAATTTTAACCAAAAAAACAGATATTTCAAAAGGTTCCTGCGGAGTACCGCAGATGCATTGGGTGCTAATACCTTCCCATTGTATAACCAACCCCCGAACTCTCGATCTCTTTCAAAAAACGCATTGTATTTTTATTATTTTTAAGTATTATTTTACATTGCATACTTTAGGGTTTTATTTCGCTCTTTTCCCTTTTCCCTTGGAAACAATAAATCGCGGTGGCGACTCTTGCTTTTGCGAGTCAAGTTAATCAATAGCTTGATCTCCGATTTTCACCGCTACAGGAAGAACTGACTGTTTTTGGAATGTTGGTTTGCGTTTTGAGTTTTTTTCGCAAAATGTCGCGGTAAGCAAGAGTCGCCACCGTCTTTTATTTTATCCAACAAGGAAAGGAAAAAGCACAAAAAAATTCCTTTTTCGAGATATTTCTGAGTACGGGGGGTAGATTATAGAAAGGGAAGGTATTAGCACCCTTTCTATCCGTAGTTATCTACGGGCTCTTAGGTACTTGCTCATCATTTTCAAAATTGTTTTCTTTGTGTTTGTGGGCTTTGAAAAGTTTTTGTTTTAACTTCGATTTAACTCTTGTTTTTGTCTTCAAGAGTGTAATGAAGTGTTTTTGAAAACTTGTTTGTAAAGGAGTGTAAGTGTGAAAAATTGTTTTGGATTTGAGCAAGTACTTAAGAACTAATCTACCTACTCGAAAAAAGGATCGTTTTGTATTCATTTCCTTTAGACAGTGATATCCCACTATTAGTGAGTAGGTAGCACCGTCGCTGGAGTTTGAGGGTCAATTCGAAAGGGACATACGGTCACTAAAGCAATGTTAGGACATCTTAGTAGTAACCCTAATGTCCTAGATCATTTATCTGAGGCAACAATATCTGAGGCAACCTTTCTGAGGCAACTTGATCTTTGGACAGAAGGACGACCACTAAAGCATCCTATACTCAATGACCGTTTACGAAGGCAACCAAGTAGGAGTGTACCTTAGGAGTGCGCATGTGCGAGTGTATTGATTTCAGTTATTTTTATCTTTGCACATGTTTAGGGTGATCTAACTGTTTTAAATTAGACATTCATTCTTGTCATGCAAACCCTATTATCAAACATCTAGTAGTTGAATATTTGCAAAAATTAAAGGTGTGGAAATTAAACTAAATTATTACAAGGCGTCGTGTATTTACATCACCAAAAACAAACCCTTTGAAATTTAAAAGCGGAAAAAATAAATAAATGTCCTAATTAAAATTATTACAAACCGGGAGCAGATACAATAATTGAATAAAAATGAAACGCGTGAGAAAATTGAATCGAATGCGAAACTAGGGTTTTGACCCTCTTAATTAAAAGATTTTTTTTTTGTATTTTAAGAAAAGAAATTAATTCCTAAAGTTAAATGCTAAATTAATTGGTTATTAAATTAATTAATGAAAAATAATTTAAATGACATATTTTTGGATTTTTGTTAACTTAGGAAAGAAATGAAATAATTAAATTAGTATGAAAAACCTATTGATTCTAATCAATTTTAAATATTTACAAAATCAATTAAAGTTATCTAACATAAATAACCTAATTAATTTAATTAATATTTATTGACGAAAAATAAAAATTTTGATTTTAATTGGATAGAAAATATTTTTTTGGTGATTTTTTGATAAAAAGAAAATTATTTTTGGTTAATAAAATAATTAACAAATAAATAAATAGAATAAATAAAATAACAAAAGATGAGAAATGGGCCTGAATAAGGGGTGTGAATAGCAAGAATTCTGGCCCAATGATGCTGATCCATATTGACTCTTTTTTGATCCCATGCGTTGTGTTTGACTGGCTTGTGGTGCACCCTCAATGATAGCCACCAGATCTGGCCATCTGGCCATCTGGCGCATGGATGATGAGGGAGTATGATGGATGTTAGGCCTAAGCGCACACTGAATCACCTGAAATAATTAGGAAAAATAACAAATGCTGGAGGCATGGATCGAACCCCTGACCTCCAGCCTTCAACGCCTTGAACACACACCTGGTAACCACTACGCCATTTGCTTTTTATTGTTAATATAATACAAACTAATAATAATATAAGAAAATGAATATTGGTGGAAACAAAAATAAAAAACACGCTGGAATTTGAATAAGCCTATAGGGGAGTGACACGCCTTCATCTCTGTTCTTGGACCGTGGCTAAAAGTTAAACCACCTATACCTACGGACAGAGTCTGTTGCTACAGGTCTGTGTATTTCCAAAATCCTCTACAGGCCATAGAAATAAAATCTAAGGCCATGGTTGTGCCCGTCTCGTCTTCCTGATCACAGCCATACCCCTTTCGAAGGCTAATTGTACCTGAAAATAAAAACCCTAAAACCAAACCCGAAAACCTAACAATGGTGAATTTAGATTCAGTCCATATAAATGAAATTGAATAATGCCAAAAGCTTGCAAATGCTCTATAGATTAAGATTATGCCATTATTTTACGCTATGGATGCAAGAAAAAAGCTATTCGAATTCAAAAAGATGGTGATACCGATGCGGACTTACAGTGCGTGAGAGGGCTTGAAAGCGCTTGGTTTTGATTGCTTTAGGTTGTGGAGAATGCCAGGAAACGATTGGGACAGATACCAAGCCTTGAGGATGCTTCTAAGTGGGACTTCGATCTCACACTTTTCTTTGATTTTTTTTAATCTGATTCTTGCTCTGCGCCAGATTTCTAACCCTCGTTTTGATCTGCCTCCCCTTCTTATGTATCACACAATGCATTAGGGTTAATTCTTGTGTCCAAATCCCTCTCCATCAATGATTTTGATATTTTATTTGATTCTTCTTTAAAGCTTTCCAAAATTAGTCCAAATCCAATCTCTTTGTACACATATGCCTTGATACGAGTTTGATGATGGATAGCTG